TTTATTTAATTTATTTACCAAAGGAGGGCATGCCACGGTGCTTATGGACAACTTAAAGAGGGCAACCATGTGGGTCCTGAAGACTGAACTCAGGTCTTTTGTTCTAGTGCTGTTATACGCTGAGCCATTTCGCCCCTCCCCCCACTTTTTTTTTTTTTTTTTTTTTTTGAAGCGGGGCCTCCCAGTAACCCCAGCTTTCCTGGGGTTAACTATGTAGACCAGGCTGGCCTTGAACTCACAGAGATCCGCCTGCCTCTGCCTCCCAAATGCTGGGACTACACGTGTGCGCAACCACGCCCGGCTATTTTTTTCTATGTGTGATGCGTGATTTCAAACCTCATGTATTCTAGCCAGGAGCTGCGCGCCGAGCTATACTCCCAACCCGCTTTGGTTAGGTGTGCATCTAGTGATCTCTATCCAGTTTTCTTTCTCAGCAGCTAGGCCGTCTCAGCCATCTCTGTGATGGAGCTAAAGAGTAATAAAGGGCCCTTCTTTTATTTTTTATTTTTTTGGTTTTTTTTGAGACAGTTGTCTCCCTGTAGCCATTGCTAACCTGGAACTCACTATATAGACCAGGCTGGCCTCTATCTCACAGAGATCTGCCTGCCTCTGCCTCCCAAGTGCTGGGATTAAAGGTGTGCTCCACCACACCTGGCTACAAGCTCCTTCATTTTGTAAATTTAGTAATAAAGGTTGTTGGTTACTTATGCACATTCTTTGGTGTAACTCAGAATTCTGTATTTAATATAAGAAATTTCTGTTTTCTTCTTGTGAAATCATAGTTCTGGAAAGGTGACCCATGGAAATGGCTGTTTTAGTTCAGATAGTTGTGTACATTTGGTTTTGTAGAAGAATTACCAAGTTTTTGCATGATATGGAAAAACTATAAAGACTTAGGCCTCAGACACATGGGGAATGAGTGTGCACATCACAGGCACATTGTTAGATTGTACTGGCCCACTTTATTAGGAAACTGAGTAAGAAACGAGTTTGATTTTTAGTTGGAATGTGACAGTGGTTAGGGATGGGCCCTACTGATATTTGAAGCAACTTCTGGAAGCAGGCTGATCCTTAATTTCACAGAAAACACCTAGGTGTAGCTCAGCTGTCTTGAGCTTGGTTTTTCACCTTCTGGTTTTGATTTCTTTTGACATGTTGTATAATAAGGGTAGAAAATTGTACTTTTATGAGAGCAAATCTCTTGACTTATTGTGTGTGGAAGAAATTTCCTGACTTCTGTAAGGATGGACACCTTGTAAACTGGTGATAGCTGTGTCTGTGTATGGATATCTATAGTAACCAATTTTGATTCTTTTGGGTATTACCCAGAAGTGACAGAGCTCAATTTTCAATTTTTTTGAGGAACCTTAATACTAATTTTTTAATAAGCGGTACTAATTTATATTTCCACCTTTCTATCAATAGCACTTTAAAAAATATTTTATTATGCTTTATTGTTTTATGTGTGTGAGTGTATTGCCTGCATGTGTGTAAGTACAACCATATTGTGTAATACTCCTGGAGGTCAGACAAAGGCTTTGGATTCTCTGGAACTGGAGTTACCGATGGTTGTTAGCTGCCGGGTGGGTGCTGGGAATTGAACCTAGGTTCTCTCCAAGAGCAGTCAGTGCTCTTAAGTGCTGAGGCATTTCTCCAGCCTTAATACTTTCTTTTTGAGATAGGATTTCATGAACCCAGGTTGGCCTCAAACTCACTCTCTCTCTCTGATGGCCACCTGCCTCAGCCTCCTGAGTGCCCCATTATAGGTATGAGCCACTGTACCTTTACCAGCAGCATTAAGGGTTCCCTCCTACCCCTGGCCACCTCAGTGCCAGCATTTTTTTTTTGTCTTTTTGAAGCAGGGTCTCCCTGTAGCCCCAGCTGTCCTGGAACTCACTGTGTAGACCAGGCTGGCCTTGAACTCACAGAGATCCGCCTGCCTCTGCCTCCCAAGTGCTGGGACTACAGGCGTGCGCCACCATGCCCAGCTCAGCATATGTTTTTTGTTTTGATGATAGTCATTCTGACTGGAATGAGATGGACTCTTAATGTAGTTTTGATTTGTATTTCCCTCATGGTTAAAGATATTAAACCTTTTTTTCCCATTTAAAGGTCTGTGCAGTCTGTTAAATCTTTTAAGGATTGGGTTATTTGATCCTTCATTGTTTTGAATTCTTTATTCTAAATATTAATCCTCTGTCAGCTATATAACGGTCAAACATTTTCTCCCTTTCTGTAGACTGTTTCTTCACTGTTGATTGTTTCTTTGGCGATGCAGAAGCATTTAAATATGATGTACTCCCATTTGTCACTTCTTGCTATCATTCCCTGAGTGTTGGAGTTCTGTTCAGAAAGTCATCACCTGTGCCTTATTATGAAATGGGAAACTTTCTTTAATGTTTTTTTTATATTCTTTTCTCACAAACCACACTATCCCCAAAGGTAATATTCGCTGAAGTTGCATACGGTGTGAACTTGAATGATCGCAAAATGATTCAGATTGAAGTTTTAGTAAATTGAAATGCTTTCCAATCAGATTTGAATTATGTTGTTGCAAAATGACACATATTCATGACCCAGAGATGTGCGGGAGGTGAGACTGCTGCGGTCTGTGTCTTTTGGGGATTTGGGGGGAGGGATATAATCAAATCCAGGGCCTTGGGCATGCTCTGCCATGGAGTTATATCTCATCTCTCTTTTTACATTTTCTTTGTGTGTGTGTTGAGGGGGGGTTGTGTACCCATGCCACTTGGGGCATGTGGAGGTCAGAGGACAACTTTTGACTGTCTGTCC